TGCTGCCTTTCAGACTCACCTCTTCAGACATCGGTTTAATGTCTCGTTTTTTTTGAAATATGCATACAAGCTGGGGCACCTAGAGCTCTCTTCAACCTGCAGTGGGAGCTGGGAGACTTCCCTCTACTCCAAAAGCTGAGGTAGTGTGCTGCCTTCTGTGGCTCAAGAGTGATCATCAGGAGGAAGATGTTCAAGTCTGTCAGGACAATTGTAGACATTTTCTATCTTGTAGAACACCATAGAAATGTTTCTCTAATTCAGCTTGGTTTGGAGTATCAGGCTGCCTATCAGAGCAAACTTGTGATTTGTGTCTAGGCCCAGAGGTTGCCTTTGTGCAGAGCACAGATTCTGCAATTGGTCATTCAAAGGCATACTACAAAGCTGGAAATTATCCCAATGACAAAGAGCTGTGTATAAAATAGCTTTCTGATACCTAAGATTATAAACTAGCTTTGTCCTTAACCCTGCCAGATACTGATGGACAAAATACTAATGAGCTTGTAAGCATTGTGGAAAAGGGGTAACTTGCTCCATATTAGATCATATCAAGTAATACCAGACTTCTAAGTTCAGAAGGTGGTTGGTAGAGATACCTGTGTAAGTGCACACAAAAAAATTGACATTCAGAATACCCCAGAACTGTAACATTCAAATGAGGATTTCCCACCTCTGGAAAATGTGGCTAATATTCTACATTATCTCATGAACTACAATTGTGAACTCTCCTAATGTATTTCCTATCTTCTGTGTGTACAGCAGGGTGGAAGAAAATATGAATGAGTATGTTGGTTTCAAGTGGTAGGGGATTTTTAGAGAGAAGGAAGAAGGAGGCAGTAGGTGGGTGAGAAAACATGAGGTGGAGAGAAACATGTAGCATCTAAATGAAGTGCTGAGTTCTCCAGAGCTGCTGTTACCCGTGCTGTTAAGACCAGTTAGTCTAAGAAGTCTGACTCTGAACAGTTAGTGTGCTGTGTGACCCTATCACAAGAAAATATTCTGCAGCAAATGCTGTGAAGGAAGTGAATGCAACAGCTTCTGTAGGAAAAAATTGGCAGGAAGGCAAGTAGAAGCAGACTGTGAGACATTTCTTACAAACTGTGCTTAGAAACCAATCTGTTCTTCTTTATTGTTCTTTGATGAAGGGATGGATTATAAATGGTACAGACGGCCTTGAGGCCTGTGATAGTACAGTATCTGCAGTTGAAGGCAAAAGACTCTTTTCCAGTTGAGGCTTGAAAACTTTTAATGGTTTTTATGCAAAAAAGGGTAAGAATTAATTTTAAAATTATGAAAATGTAAAAACCTTAGGCTCAAGAGCAAGTTATTTTTTTATGCAGGAGAAAAAGGATTGAAAGAACCAAGTATTAAATATGTTTTTATACTTACCTACATTGCTTATAGTTTGGCTAAGAGAAATATCTGTCTTTGTAAGTTTTAATATGAAAGAGATCTATATCATCTCTCTGTCCTATTTATGATTTTTATGATGTCTACATAACAGTATATGTGTGTGTAGAAGGATAAAAAGTTACATGTGTTATGGGAGTGGTGTACAAGCTCAGAGCACCAATGAACGGTCCACTCTCGTCCCACTGAGTGCTAAAAGCTCTATTAATAGCCCAGACTCGTTCCCACGAAGTCAAATGTTTGAACAAAATACGTGGGAGCAGGGTTGCCTGTTGTGCCACGGGCCTCAATCGCTCTCCACATCAGCAGAAGCAGCCTGTGCTCCAGCCGAGGTTTTGCAGCGGCTCCCGGCTGATGAGCCGCGCTGGAACCGCCTGCTCGGAACCTCCCGGGGCTGCCAGCAGTCGGGAAAGGCCCCGGGTTCCAACGGGTTTGCTCCTGCTGCTTCTCTTTGTCTTTAAAAGAACATCTTGCCTCCCTGTGACTTGCACCAAACGTAAGGCAAAGTGTCTGCGAAGGGATGGAAGCAGGCTGTAGCGCGATGTGATTTTTGCGTGATCAGCCGCTCGTCCTTCCGGCGGAATCAGTAGGCTGGGTGACAGGGACACCTGCTGGCAGGGGGACTCCGAGAGCATCCCTGGGAATCCCGCTGGGAAGGACTCTCCTTCTGGGAGTGCTTAATGCCTTCATGCCAACTTCCAAACACCCGCGACTCTCCTTAAATTATCTTTGTAAGCGGCTTGGTATCTTGGATTGATTTCTGATTGGGTAGCAGAACTTTTTACTATAAAGAAAGACAACTCTTTAACTGTAAATTTTAAGCTTCATTCAAAAGTTAAATGGGATGTTTGATCTGGGGCTGATATTGCCTTAGATCATGCCAAAACGTAAAAACTATGTTCTGAGGAAGTGTGGGTTTGTAGAAGAATCTCTCGGATCAATGATAAATTAATATTAATGCTCGGCATTCGTACAAAATATATACATTAGGGAATATTTTCGTTAAAAATATAAATCAGATGTGTAAAATGCATATTTTATGATTGGCTTTTCTCAAATGTTACAATTAATATTATATGTGTAATGTTAGAAAGTTATGCTGTATTAATTCTCTTAAGTAGTGTGTTAAATATAGTTTTAAGTTCCAACATGATGTTAAAATAGAAACTCTGCTCTGTGAAGGGTTTTTTTTTAAGGAATGAGATACTTGCTTCAAGGAATACCTAAATCTTCCAGATAAAAAGAGGAATTTACGGTTTTCTTATCAGAAGAAGCGAATTTCTTCAGGCCTTGCTCAGACTCGAAGACAAGTGGGGGTTAAAGGAAACAGTTGACATGCAACAGACAGCGTTTCTTGTTTTAAATAGAATGCATGCATAACCATGAAGGACATATAAATATGCAACAGGCTATTGCTTTTAAGATTATTCCTTTGTTCACAAGGGATGCTTTTCGTGACTTAGTGTCTGAGAGGACCCGGAAGTCCGTAATTCTTTGGTTTTTATTATCTTGTAATTGTCCTAACTCTAAATTTTATTACTCTAATTGTATTACTATTTTAATAATAATTTTATTATTATTAAACTTTTACAAATTTTAAAAACCAGGTGATTGGCATTTTCCACACAGATATCTTGTGAACAAACACAAAGAAGCCAAATGGTCTGTCATAATAACGTAGTTAAATTCCTTATGTCTTCAATATTTAAAAAGGCTTTTGGAGATATTTAGTTTACTTTTGCAAGCACTGTGCAATCAATGCAGTATCTCCAATGTAACAAACACATCTAATATATATATGTGCTCATGCTTACCTGTCTGTATGTTTAATTTAAGAAATCACTCCACACTGCTTGACGTGTATGTACTGCTGATGTAACTGGTCACAGGTTGTCTCAAACCTGTGGCAGAGCAAGGCTAGTCCTGGTTCCAGTAGTGTTTATAGCAACTCTCTTAAAGCAGTACCCCTCATCACTCTTGTGATTTGAACAAGAGATGTTATGCAGTAGCTCCTTGCTGACAGAACGGCAATTTATTGTAGACTAAACTTATCCCCTGAGAATGAACTTATCTGACTGTATCAAAAAATCTTTCACCTTCTGTCCACAACATTTGATGTCTCTAGCATCATATACCTTCATCCCACAGAGAATCCAAGTTATTACATACTGCCTAAGGGCAGTTCTGACCTCTTTGACTTCTAAACAGTTTTCTACTTTTTTTACTCCTTTGACAATTCAGCAAGTGAAATGACAAAGATGGATTTTATTCCAGGAGCTTTGACCAAAATTATTTATTGCCTACCTAGTAAACCTGGCCATAAATGTAATTGATTTATAAATCCCACAAAAGCCAAACAGTAGCCAGTGACTGCTTGTAGTGATGCTGTGCAGAAATTATGTGTATGGAGGGATAACTTTTCTTCTAGCCAAAAGGCTGTGCAGGAGTAAAGCAACAATATCTCATGTCCTCTGTGGATCAGGACTATTCTGGACCATTTTTTTTTTCTGGTAGCTCATTCTATATTTTCACTTTCTGTTTTAGTGACTGTTTTCTGTTATCTGTTCTAAAAGGATAGCAGAATGGACTGCAGTGTATCAGGAAGGACGGATTGGACTGAGGGGAGGAAGAAGTAATCTCTTGTCTGAGAAAATTGAAAGAAAATGTCTGTGGTACTTGGAAGCTAACTTGACAACACGAGTAATATAGACAGAGGTATTGAAGTTCTGACCATCGGGGTGAGATGAAAAGCCAGGTGAGGTATTGTTTCATATTAATATTTTTCTCCTGAAACTCTTTTGGCTAAATGTAAATGTGGTTCAGTAACTGTAATTTTTTAACAAGTTTGCCTGTGAAAAATTGTACTGTATAAGGGAAATGGCATTTTACCTGCAAAGTCCAGTTTTGCTCTTGATTTACGGCATTGAGTACTGGTCTTCAAGTTGCCTAGACCTGCTGAAGTTCTTTTTTTCACAGTGATATTGGGCTACTGCAAATATTAAATGTGTTTTCTGACTTTGGTGCAACTTTTCCATGCAGCAACACATTGATAATGAAAACCTGGTTTATCAGCATGGAAGTGGCCATGGGTATTGGGGTTTTTTTTCTGTGTGTTATTGGATGTGTGATGTACAGTGTTACTATTCCTATTAAAATACTGAGTCAGATCACTTTTTTTGTGAAGGTCCACATATTCCACAGAACTGAGCGGGCTATTGCAGAATATAAGTGCAGTAAAACAAAGCCCTCCAGAGAACAGTAAAAGAATTTGCCACAGATTGGACGAAATCTTGCATTCCTAGTAAAAATGCAATGGAATACTATTTTTGCACTGATACCCAATCTGTTGGTTAGCTTGAGAGCAGGCAGCGCTCAGGTTACTGCGAGGGAAGGTTGAGCAGAGCCCCAGGCGGCGGCAGGGACAGAGCCCAGGATCGCTGCAGAGCTCTGGCAGCTGCTGAGGGACGAGAGAGCTGCTTCTAGAACTGCACCTTCACGCTGCTGTACAACTTGATTTACTTTTTTTGGATAGTTTTGGATGGTGGTAAACACTTCTGTGCCCTTGGGTAACCAGTTTTATTTAAGGTCCATAAATGAAGATGAGGAGCCTCTCCTCCTTTTACCTCTCTCTGTGGTTACTGTTCACAGGAGTGATACTCAAAGGTGAGAATACTGCTTGCTAGTTAAATGTTGCACTGAAATTGATTTTATTCTGATAGGATCTTGTGAGCTGAGGTACCCCAGCTGTTTAATCTGATTAGTTTAACTTTGTCTCACTGATGCATAGACAAAATTATCATGCACGACCAGAATTGCAGCGCTCTTAGGAAAGATTGGATTTGATGGGATATTTTTTAGTCGGGAAGGTTTGCTTTGAACTCTTAATTAGTCCAGAAAGTCGGTGTGAATCACCAGAGATGCAGTCCAAAGCACTTGTTCCCTACAAATTGCCACCTGGCACTTGCAAGAGTCTTGCCGGTGTGTGAGAGGCTGGAGCGCTGAAGCGATAATGACTCGAGCAATTGGCCATTTGCAAAAGCAGCGGGTGCTCTGATGAGGCCGATGTCACCCCACAGCCCAAGGGGAGGAAGGCTAAGCCCATCACCAGAGATCACCAGGACAAATTAACCTTTGTTTAGCAGCAAGCTGGGTTTCGAACCAGATAAGGGAGAAGACCGATAAAAAGCCGATCCTACGAGACCAGATAATACTTTTTATCGTGTATAGTGATATCGGTCCTCTCCATTATCTACTCTTATCCTTTATTTCTTTTTCCTTCTTCTGTATTTTCTTAAGTGTAATCTTTACACTTTTATATAATTTCATTTCTCTAGATAACAACCGATACGACTACGTACCTCTTTCCCATTGCTGGAATTGATGCAACTTTAGAATTTTTTTTGTAACTTTATTCAGGGGTTTGCTCGCCTTTGACCGGGGATAGGGGAATTGAAGTTTGTCTTCACAAGAATGTTCACCGAGAGAGGTCTGATGAGTTTAACATCTACAGACGGGGAGTAGCCAGAAGGGATACAGGAAAGGAACATTTACGGTCATTACTCCTCCGGAGACGCTTGGTCTGGGAAAAGGTTGATAAGAGATCCAATGAATGAAGTCCAGACTCGATCCATTACCAATAGAAGATTGAACATTAAGAATTGTGTAATTTAAAAAGAGTGAACGTGAATTTCTTTGGGGTTTTTATGTATAAATAAGTGAAAAGTCTGGTAAGGAACCATGTAGGATGGAATGATTTCCACTGCACAACCCGGGCATGTGTGGATGAAATAATTGCTATTGCATATCCTGCTCAGAATAACATCCTGCTCAGAATAAAGTAATGCCTAATTCTCTAACATGGAAAAGACGTTTATGGAGAGTTTCTGTTTTCCCTGTGGTTTCAGTGACACCATTGCATCAAATAGTTCTACAATAAACCTGCCATTCATAAATATGTGTATTTATACATAACTCCTAATTCGGTGTTGTTTAACTCTTATCCATCCCAAGGTATCATTTAAGAAGAACATCCATTACTCCAACTTCAGGGGTGGGTTGTAACAGAGTGGTCCTGCTGTCCTTGCCTTTTGCTTGCAGAAATTTGCGTATCTATGTAAAGAGGCTGCCTGGAGAAACTGTGATGTACAAAACACTATGAAACAGCAAAAGTGTAATTTAAAACCTCAAGTTTCAGTAAAATTATCTTTAGTTTTTAAGTTTGGATAGCAAGAAGCATCACCAAATACATGGTTTGGAAAAGATGTTGGTGTACAGATGTATTCACATATTAAGCAATTGCCAGCTTGTGAAGAAAAGCAGCTCAGATATTTTACAGGTGGCATTTTAAAAAGAAAAAGAATAAATTCTGGAAGTAGCAAGAATCTTACCAGTGCTGCTTTTGGGGACATACCAAAAGCCATTACCCTGTAAGTGTAATTTCAGACCTTGCTGATTGGAAGTCATTGGAAAGTCACTGGCAAAATAAAAGTAATTATATTTACTTTCAAAAAATGTAGGAATCGCTATATACAGAGTAATTTTCAGTGGGTGTGAAAAGCTTAAGTTAGCTCTTCACTTGCTCCAGGTGAATGCTGTCTTTATTTGAATAACTTCATCAGGCAGTCTTCTGTATCTGAACTAATGATATTCTACCATATATGAAAGATAAATATGGTTATAGCAAATACTGCTTGAAGCAGTAGAAAGAAGGTGTTTTCTGATGCTGCTCAGTGCTTAATCTAATGTACTGAACAAATCCATGTTTTCTAGCTGTAGAATCAGCCAAAGGAAAATATGCTCACATGCTGTTTAACAAACTGTTTGAAGACTACTCCAGTGCTCTGAGACCAGTGGAAGACACAGATAAAGTACTGAATGTCACCCTTCAGATCACATTGTCCCAAATTAAAGACATGGTGAGTAAAAGTAGAGTTCTGTTTTTCTAAAAATGTACAGGGATATACTAGATGTAAGCCTTTTGTTCGGATGTAAGCCTTTTGTTAGGAGTAGGAAAAGCAGCCTTCATTTTGTGGTGATGACTTCAGAAACGTTTCCTCACAGGCAAGGGAGAGGGGGTGGCCAGAGGGATTGGGGATGAGTCCTGTTCTCTAGTTTTTGTACATTCTTCTCTGGTTGCATCATTTAAGGCTTTCATTTTAAGTGTAGAAACTTAGAGCTGCTGAATTTTTAAGACTTCTTATGAAGTTAGGTGTTGGTATCACACCCTCTAGACAACTTTTGTTGAGTTTTAAATACAGCAAATGCTTTTTCTAAGCCACAATTAATTTCTACATAAAATCCCTAAAATTAGCCTCCAGTAATTTTTATAAACATGGTTTTTTAGATACACTTTTAAGGCAAAAGAAAATGTGTCTGGAAGGAGAAGGAAATATAATTTTTGTAACTTCTGAATTATAATTTCAAGGGCTCACCAAGCTCTCAAAGAATTTCTTAGCCTGGATCTGTTAGCTATTTGCTATTCTGAAGCTTGCAAAAGGAAATTAGGAAAAGCTGGGAGCATTAGATACTGAGGTTAAAACTAGGGAAGGTGATGAGAGATGGTGATTTGCATAAGTGTAAGTCCAAACCAGTGTACAGTGTGTGGGCCTAGATGACTGAGAATTATTTTGTGGCCTGTTTGTATTCTGGCCTGTTTTGAGCACTGCATCAAAGACATATCACAAATGCTGTCTGTGTCTAAGATGTGATTTTGTCACCTTCAGCTAGAAATATTTCTACATTTTTATGCAGGATGAAAGGAACCAAATTTTGTCAGCTTACTTATGGATTCGACAAAGCTGGTATGATGCATACCTCAGATGGGACAAAGATAAATATGATGGGTTGGATTCTATCAGGATTCCAAGCAATTTGGTTTGGAGACCAGATATTGTCCTATATAACAAGTGAGTGTGGCTGGAGAAAATCAGCTTGCATATTTGAGGGAGGGATGGGGTTAAAGGAGTAACTGGTCTACAGAGTCTGAACTTTCATCTCTACCTTACCTTAGCAAGGGGTATGTTTGTTGTCTTAACATTTGTTGTTGATAATCTAAATATTTTGCAAAAAAGCAAATTTTGCAATAGACAAGATCTGAAAAATATGCTACACAACAAAGATTTTCTGAATTTCTCTGCACTGGAAATTGAATACCCTGTCTGTCTGAGATGCTTTCTGCTGAGGCTCCTAGAGAACTCTGGAAGATTGTCCACAAAAAGATGATACATAAAGGCTGCACTCCTTGTCTGCTCTGCCAGGCCAATAATGACCTGCAGACTGTTTTCAGCTTTTAATGGACTCTTACCCTACTGTGTTCTGTTTGAAGGCAATTTTAAAGGAACTATGGCCAATAAGCACAACATAATTTAGCAGCACTGTTGTTTGGCATTCATGGGCATTCATACCTATAAATAATGGTTAATAGTAAGTTCCTACTAAAATTCAGTGTAAATATGATTTCAGAAGCATGCTTTTAATGGTGTGAAAGGAGGGTCTTCCCCATTGCCCACCTTCTCTGGCCCTCATCCTTAAGTTTGTGTCTATCAATCCTGATTGCCATTTTTCTGTCTTTTAGGGCTGATGATGACTTTTCAGAACCAGTAAATACTAATGTCGTGCTGAGATATGATGGAAAAATCACTTGGGATGCACCTGCTATCACAAAGAGCTCTTGTGTAGTGGATGTGTCTTATTTTCCTTTTGACAGCCAGCAGTGCAACCTTACCTTTGGGTCCTGGACCTATAATGGTAACCAGGTAGACCTCATCAATTCTCTTGATAGTGGTGACCTCTCTGACTTCATAGAAGATGTGGAATGGGAGATTCATGGTATGCCAGCAGTTAAGAATGTTATCACTTATGGCTGCTGCTCTGAGCCTTATCCAGATGTGACCTTCACACTGATTTTGAAAAGGAAGTCCTCTTTCTACATATTTAATCTGTTGCTTCCCTGCATTTTGATCTCTTTCCTGGCCCCACTGGGATTCTATCTCCCTGCAGACTCTGGTGAGAAAGTGTCTCTGGGTGTTACAGTTCTTCTTGCTCTGACTGTGTTCCAGCTGATGGTTGCAGAGATCATGCCCCCATCTGAAAATGTACCTTTGATAGGTGAGCTTTACACATTTTGTCTTTAAGCATGACTCATTAATAGCAGGGCTGTATGTCAGGGACTCTTCATATAATTTGTGATTTCTGGGAAGATAAATTTGCTACATTTTTGAAACATAGTACTTAAAATATGTGTGGAATCTGTATAGGTATGCTGCAGTTTTTAGAAGTTATTTTGTGTTTATTTTAAATTATACATTAACTAGCTGTTTTATATTTATTAAATATAGTTAGATATTTTGAATTATGCTATCACATCTTGAAATAAAGCTAGTAATGGAAAACAATTTTAGAACTAACACATGAAGTACAATCAAAAGCTATAAGCAGAAGGTCAGACTGTTTTAAGATATGTTTCTGTCAGATCCAGACAGTTGGATGGCCTGGCTGGCATACTCAGAGTTGACTTAGTATCTGACAATTGCTGCATTGGGTTATAGTCGTTGGGAATTCATCATGCTGAAATTTAATTTATGTCTGGGAGTTCAGGAAAGCTCATGTGCAATGAAAGGATCCTAGCTCAGTCTGTTTTCTTTATTCCCACGCTCTCCCTTGCCATCCATTCCCTTTGAAACTGAGCTCAAGTCACACTTGTGTGTGGCATGTCCTGCCTGTGTCGTTGTTCTCCTGCAGAGGCTGCAGAGCAGGGCTGGGAGCTGCCTCTCTGTATAAGTTGGTTGGATGCTCAGCTGTGTTGCTGGTGTGGGTGCATCAATAGCTCAAACAAAGTCTGATCATCACACATAATACCTGAGGAAATGGGATTTCCAAGGTGCCATGTGAAGCCATTGGCATGGGGATTTTGCAGATACTATGAAAAGAGCAAGACTCTTGAGAAACATTTTTGGAATGGATGTGTTTCAAATAATCAAAGGTTTTAGCCTGCAAATATTGACCATGTTAATACAGTAGTCATGTGCTCATCTGATAATGACATGCCAGTAATGAGTATGAGATTTTATTTTGATGGCTTTTATATTTTTTTTAAATAGTGAATCCTGATCTAAGAGAATTAAGGTGATTAAAGTTTTATTTCACTTGCATCTATGCTTAACACTATGTTGTCACACTGTTACTTCTCTTTTTTTTTTTTTATTAGAGTAACATCTTTAATAGAATTTTATTTTTTGTTCTAGGGAAGTACTACATAGCAACTATGACCATGATCACAGCTTCCACTGCATTGACAATCATTATAATGAATCTCCATCACTGTGGCTCAGAAGCAAAGCCTGTTCCACAGTGGGCCAAGGTGGTTATTTTGGACTACATGTCAAAAATATTTTTTGTTTATGATGTGGGTGAAAATTGCACAAGTCCTAAAAGAGAGAAGGAAGAAGAATGTAGGTTAGAGGGGGATGATGGGTGTCAGGGGAAGCACAAAGAGGTAAGGAGTCCTCTTTCCACTAGGAGTGATGACTGCAATCTCAAGGAGAAGCTCAATGGAAATTGGAATAAAAGCTATGGAGTTCATGGTGATAATGTTAATTGCTGTTCTTGTTACAAAATGCTAATTAAAAATATTGAGTATATTGCTAATTGTGTTAGAGACCATAAAGCTAACCGGGCCAAAGGAATTGAGTGGAAAAAAGTTGCAAAAGTGATGGACAGGTTTTTCATGTGGATTTTCTTTATCATGGTGTTTTTTATGAGTGTGTTGATCATTGGGAAAGCTGCTTAACTGAAAATGAATATGTTCCTTTTGTAAATCTAAATATTCTATGTTAGTTTGTTTAGGAAGAGTTCTGTGATAAGGGTGCTTTTGAGATCTTTGTCTTGCATTCTATAACAATAAACAAATTGATTCTGTAAGCTGTGACAGCGAGTTGAGATATTGGAAAACTGAGGACTTTGCTGGAAACTGTCCTTGCCATTTAGCTTTAGGATAAGCAGTCAGTGTTCCACCTTGGTGGGTGGTGGCCATGACTTCAGGCTGTCTGGGCCAGAGTATTGCAGCAGTGGAGCAGACAGCCTAGCAGGGAGTTGTGTATTCACAGGGCTGCATCTCTGCACCTTGCAATTTGATCAGCCCTTTCTCTCTTCCAGGCAAAAAAAAAAAAAAAAAAATATATATATATATATATTTATGAAATGGTGATATTTTCTGGAAGCCATCTCTTCATGGCATTGGATTTTTCTCTTTTGTTTTAGCTTGACTTGATAACTTATGGTTTTTGTTCCAGCTCACTGATCACTGCTCATTTCATAGGCTCTACATGCTGTGCCTTTAGCTTCTAATATGGTTGAGCTTACTGAATATGATCTTCCTCTTTGTAATTTTCTGCTGCAGACTGTTACTGTATTGTCACCATGGCTCAAGTCAGCCAGATTCCCAGGGTTTCTTCCCCACTGAGTCAGAGGGTCTCTTTTAAATTCTTTCTCTTGAGCCTAATAATAGGAAGAACTTCTCTTGTCCTTCCTACATGTCTCATTGCCCTGGGCATTTGTTCAAGATGTGCCTTCAATTGCTACTTGAGACTGCTAAAATAGGAGTCTGTGACTTCTGTCTTCTCTCACCGTATTTACCTGCCAGTGCTCACCCTTTGTGTCCCTTGCTCACTCTTACAAGCTCTTTAATACTTACATTTTAACAGTTTACAGGAATGCCAAGGTTGCTCTGTGCATTACTTAGCATAAAACCATAATTTACAGACTTTTTAAAGTAGTGCCATAATCAACACTCCTTGCTCAACACCTTAGTTCTTACATATATGGGAAAATGTTTGTTTTCCAAACCAAAACCCCTGCTTCTCTCTGTTAATTTCTCTTAACCCTCTCAGACTGAGAGAGCTCTGGAGGATGTAAGAAACCAGTACCTCAGGCATGCCCATGGCAAATAAATTGCTTTTGCAAGGCACCCTGAACTTTGAAACCATGATATTCTAGATGCAGTGGGAGAGGCAGAATGGCATTGTAATGGATCCCAGTGAAAAGTTCATGTGATAAAGCTAATTTTCATAATTGTTGCAGTCAATAGGAGCATACCTGTGAATCAGTAACTTAAAAGCAAGGAGCTAAACTGGTAAATTGATGCAGTTGTTATGCCCAAATTTATTAGAAGAAAGAGAATTGTTCTTTTCATTTTGATGATGTAAATGATGCATGGCAGGTTTTCTTTTGTGTGAAATAATTAACACTGTAAACTTATCTGGATTCTCATACATAATGCAAGCCTTAAGTCCAGGGTTTAATGTAAAGCTAAACTGGGTGTCTAGCCAAGAATAAACTCAGTACGTGGAAAAAGTCTCAAGTGTGTTCCCTGTATATTATCAGTTCCCACTCAACCAGGGTAAATTTGAGTAGCTCCTTTAGAAGACAAGCTGTTCATTTTCATTCACTGTGCAAAAAAAACGATGCATCCATTTGCCACATAGTTCAGGGTTTGGCACTTACACTGCCTGCTTGAGGAAACTGGTTTGCTCTTTGTTGTGAAAAAAATTATTGTCTGTAAAGCTGAGGGAGTAAGGTATTTAAACATGGGGTAAAATAATCAGAATGTGAGTTTTCAGCATGAAAAACTGATGACCAAGGGTTTATTTAAGGCTTATGGGTGGCATATCCCTTACAATATAGGAACAGGGTACATGAAATGTACACAGTGTGTGGCAGAGTCTGTACAGCATGTGATAAGGCTGAAGAGCTCTTTGCAACAGGATTGGTGAATGACAAAAGATTATATGGATTTCAAGACTTAAGGGGAAAATAAAAAAAATTCTATTGGCATACTTCTAAATACAGTCACCAAGTATTTAAAGGATGAGCACTATTGTAGGGATTAATGATAATTCGTGACTACGTGTTCTTCAGTGCTCTTCATCCCACTGGTGGCACCCACTGGAGGTAGCTTCAAGATTTAGACAGCCCTTTAGTCTGATTCAGAATATCTTACTTACAAACTCAGATTCTGTCCATGTCACTCTGTTCAAAACAAACTGCTGCAGTTGTGGGCTTTCCATGTGTAAGGGAAAGTTTGCAGTCATAGGTGAACTGTGGGCCTCTGTCATGCTGGTGCCTTTCAGTACTCTTCATGCTTGGATGATGATGCCGAAATCATGCTTTTCGATTCCCTAATACTTTTTATGTGAAGATGTGATGGTATAAGAAATACCGTCCTTGCAAGAATATGATTTGAAAAATAGTTATCGTGATTCAAACTTATTAAATATTAAATTTGTTTTTAAATGTTTATCCTTTTCTTTGGATCACCAGACATTCTCAAGTGTTTTTTTCACCCTTTATTTACATTTGGTGATTTTTCTTGATCTTGTAAGAAAGACTTCTCAATTTTTAGTTCATAAGAGCCCTGGATTTGATAAAGATTGTGAGTAGCAGATGATGAACACCAGTAGAAGCTGGTTGCTGAATTTTTGTGATGATAGGACCCTTGAGTCATGTCTCTGGACTTGATCATCGTCCAGGGTAAAAAACATGATGTGGCACTGCATGCCGTGATTCTGGTGACAGGGCTGACCCAAGGCCCATGCTACTGCCATGCAAGGGCTACCTGGTTTAAAGCCAGCTCAGGAGTTTCTGACTAAACTATAGGGACGATGGCTTAGGTCTTAATGTTTGCAGAATCACAAAATCATTTAGGTTGGAAAAGACCTCTGAGATCATCATGTAATGTCCAGTTGTTTCTTGAACACCTCCAGAGATTGTGACTGCACCACTTCCCTGGGCAGTTCATGCCAACCCTTTCCATGAAGAAATTTCATCAAGAAGAAATTTGTTTTAAATCAGTCTTGTGTGTGACTAGGCAGAACTGTGCATGACAGCTATAGAGCTGAGTGAGACTGGACTGTTTAATCTAATTCTGTCTGCCTTGGTCTCTTCCTCTTGCCTTTGTATGCTTCGTGCTTAGATCCAGTAATCTTTGAGGAAGATGAAATCCAGAAATTATTAATAACTATAATTCTAGTAATGGAAAATTAGCTATTTATACACTGAGTAACTCTGTTTACCATGAAGGCAGCAGGGTGGCTTTCTATTTACTGAAGAAGACAATGATGCTGTAAAAATAGTGTTTTAGATCTGTGCTGCAGAGGCCTTCGAGGGATGAGCTGACAGATTCTTTTGTTGTACCATCTCTTGGCAGAGAGATCACCTCTCCTTTCTTGTACTGAGTTGAAATGAGGAAAAATAGAAACTGTGTCTTGTGATGCCTTCACTGCTCTTTTCACAAGAAGAATTACAGAGCTGAAGTGTAATGGGATGTTGGGGTGTTGAATTTTCAACGGTGCAGAAAGGTAAAAGATGGTCTTTCCTAACCTAGGAAATCTATTTGTGTTCATGGAAATTGAACCAAGAAGGCTCAAACTAAACAAAAAAAGGATCATTCTGAACAATAAATGACATTCTGAGAGAGAAGAGGTTTTTCCCTTGCTTCAGGAATTCAGATGTCACATTCTAAACATCTACATCTTTTGTCCACTGGTTAGCAAAGCTTGGTTCTATGACAGTGCCAGGATTATGATACATATCCCAGAGTCATTTCTCAAGAAATGCAGGAGTGTGGCAAGAATTCCTGATTGTGCACCAGTCCAATTTGAGAAGCTGAAGACCTGAGACAGGAAAATGAGACTATGGGGTGAAAGGCAACTCCTCTCATTCTGTTTACAAAATTCTGAAGAATCCATCTTTTCTTACAAACTTCTGTTATTCATGGAATAAAAGAATATATTGATTCTTGTTTTCTTTCTTAGCATGTTTTCATCAGTGACAATATATAGGACCAAAAGTGACCTCTGTAGTTTGTGTGCAGCCACCTCCTTTGTACTTGCAGGCAGAGTGAGTGACTTAGAGCTCAATTAAAGGAGGGGAGCAAGCTGAGCATCTATTTTCTCACTTTTCTTTGAAGTCTACTAAAAAGGAGAAATTTTTCTTCTTTGTTAGACACAAGTCCAACCCTGTGGAAGGGACACAGAAGGTAGTGAAGGTGTTTGTAACTGTGCAAATTAGGGCTTCGTTGTCTCCAGACACTTTTTAAGAACTCCATTTTACCATTTTACCTTTGCAGTAAGGAATAACAGAGATAGCAAGTACCTAGCTCACTTTTGTTCTTATGTCTGTCTTTCTAAACGCATTTGTAAATTTGATTCCTAGTCTGCAGGCCACAGACCACTGAAGATCTGAAAAGCCACCAGAAATACACTGCACTACAAAGGTGAGCGTCTCAGGTGGTGCCTTCTGGTTACGTTGGGTGCAGGGATGGCTGTTGGTAGTGAACTAAGTCATGCCTAAGTCACATGAGTTGCTTTGCCTGGCCATGACAGTCCTGTGTGTTCTGTCAGGTGTAGTTCTAGAGGGTGGGATGTAAGCTTATGGGGAGCATAGCAGGCTGGAAAATAGGGTCTGTGAAAAAGATGGCATCTGGAACTGCCGTGGTCTCTTCTTGGGTATTCCTGCTTCAGAGTAGAAGTCCATCTACTGAACATCCAGAAAATGCAAATTGAGATTAAAAAAGGGCATCTGCAATTTCAAGTAGGTTTTTTATTCTGCTTTCTGAAGACATTTATTTAAAAGGTGATCTAGTACTAACTTTTAAGTTACCCATCTAGGACTATGGATTTTTCTGGGGAGCAGATATAATTGTTTTTTTCATCTACCACTACCATGTTCTGTGTCTTGACATTCACACAGATACTCACAACAAATCTTTATTTTAAAAGAACTTGAAACAGATTTTCGTAGTCATTCTTTTTACTCATATCACTCTTCACTGAACAAGACTTTATGGTGTTGGGAGTGCTGGAGAGACTGCACACCACAGTCTTTCCTACATTTCACTTCCGTTTGAAGAATGCACTG